TCAGTCATTGGTGGGTTTCGATCCGTCTATTGTTAGTCAAATAGGTCGGTTTTTGGTCCGTGTATTGTTAAGTCGGACTGTTAGAAGTCCGTTTGTCGGTTTCGTTTCCGTCATGGATAAGTCGTTTGTAAGGCGCCGGTAGTTGTTGAAAAAAACAAAAACCGACCTATTTGACTAACAATAGACGGATCGAAACCCACCAATGACTGACGACAAACTACTGACCAATCACGTTCAACAGACCAGACTTATAACATTATCGACTGACAAACACCATTCACTTGACTCTGAAGATGACTGCCGGTTGTTTCAGGTTGTCGAAACGTCGGTCACCAACAACAGTTCTTTTCAGAACTACACTCACCCGGACGATCACACTATACGAACTACTGATACTCCTGGGTTCAAACCATTCACAATGTAGAAATAATTTTCAAATATTACTTTAAATATTATCAATATAGAAATAAATTTCAAAGTGGAAATGAATTTCGTTGTTTGGCATTCGTTCATTTGTATCGTAGGTTATTCAAGAAGATGTCTACAGTTTAGAATCCCAGCTTGAATCTGTGAACGATCAAATTAAAGAGGAAGACAAGGCTTACCTCGATTTCATGCCGATCAAACAGCGTGTGTCTGCACTCGGTCAACGGTGTAGTGCTCTGCGTAAGGACACCAATGAGAGAATAGCGAAACTCGAGAAGATTGTGAAAGAGTTGACAACATTTGTTACAGCCACTGGAGAACTGCAAGTCTATCTCAAGACTGCATTTGAAAAACTGGGTAACTTGGAGCCTATTCATAACGATGCAGACGTGATTAAACAGCAACTGAAGGAAGTACAAGTGAGTTCTTATGTATAGCGTCACGTATACGAATAGTGTAGATCCTATACATAAATGGCTGCCAATTTTAAATTCTTTTGTATGTATTTCAATAGACTGTTTTCGATATATTAAAATTCAGCTTGGCAGTGAGGCTTAGAGGACACAAACAAAGGGAATTGAATGACAAGTTTATTCAATTCTTTTGTTTGTGTCCTCTAGGCCTTACTATCAAGCTGAATTTTAATATGTCGAAAGTGACCTATTAGCCTCACTAAACTCGTTTGACTAAATGAGTGTAAAAATTCAGTTGAATTATCAACTCAAAAACGAGGTTAGGCCGGCTAATTTTAATACTTACAAGAGAGTTTGTAATTGGAAGCCATTTATGAAAAGAGTCTTGCAGTATTTGGATTCAGTATTAGCTTTCTGTACTCAGCATGACTATGTTGTACGGTTATGATATTTGAACCTCTTACTGCTACTTTTCTCTTGCACCTCTTTTCTTCAGAGCTTTTACAGAATGGGTGATACAATAAACAGTTTAGAATGTCACCCATTGTGTACAGAAGTGTAAAAGCTCTGAGTGTGCCATGCGCAATCTTGAAATCTGTTGCTGCTTCTTTGAGTCGCAGTGTTTCATTGCTTCTCTGTTATTGTTCCAACCAGGCGCTTCAAGAGGAGGCCAACACCCAGCTTGGCGTGTTGTCGACTGCCGAGATAGCTGCTACCACTATTTGCTCTGACAAGAAGGACGATCTGAAGGCCACCCATGAAGTGAACAAATCACTACATGAAGTTCAAACGCCTATGTTGGATGTGTTAGATAGACTTCAGACTCGCGAACAGGACTTGAAGAGCGCTCTGGAGCATCTGGAAACTTACAAAGCACAGCTGGAACCAGTGCAGGAGGTGTTCTCTCAGGTGGAGAGCACTGTTGAGGCCCAAGCCCCGGTCGACTTGAACAAAGGAGAAGATGAACTCGGCAAAGTGGATGTAAGTGAGATATATGCACAGTCCTAAATTAAGTAATCGGACAAGTAATGGGATGGTCTAGCCGTCGCAGAAATTTTTCTTCTTTCCAATAACAGCAATTTATACATCCACTGACCGTGAGAGAAAGAATTAAGTGGCTCGAAAGAATTTGACCGTGCATTGACAAAACTGGATATTGTATTTGAGTATGTGCATGGTGTGAAAGAGTACTGAGAGTGGAATTCAATAAAAATACGAAAACTCAAATCCTTTGTTTATATATCCAATGTATAATTCAAACTCAAAAAATATTAGCTCAGAGGTAACAAACCAAGCAAACAAACCCTTAAAGTCGTGTGAAACAAATTGCTTCAAGATCATTCTTCTGTGTGTTTGGCTAACAGTACGTGTTCCTCTTTTGTTGCGCGCAGACGATGATCAAAGAAATGGAAGAGAGCAATAGACATGTGCGCTTGATTAGGACATCGAGTCAAAAACTCCTCCGAGTCATGGACATTCAGTCGGAGCCTGGGGCCGAGGTGCAGACGGAGGTCGCCAAAGTCACGCACAAGCAACGTGATCTCAGTTCTAGTCTCCGCCTACGCCGCTCTAAAGTCGAGAAGAGTCTGCAACTGTATGGAGATTTCTTGGAACAGATTGAAAAGGTGGAGAAATGGCTTCCAGAGGGAACTGAGCGAGTTCAGGCATTAGAGCTTGTGAGCGGCGAACCAGATGTGATCAGAAAAGAGCTCGATAAAGTGCAGGTTTGTCTTGGCTTATCGTGTGATTGGACATCTTGAAAACTTAGCTTAATTCTTTGGTCTTCACTATCCGACTTCCTCTTTGGTTTATTAGTCGGACTGCTAATCTTTTATCTTGAAGTTTTCTTAGTTTTAAGGTAGTATTGTTCATCAGCAGAAGTGACTTTACTATAAAGCGTTTTCACTCACGTGGCCAGCAGCCATTCAAATTTTCTTGGAACAAAAGAAGGTGTTAACATAAGAAAGAGTTCAACTCCCACAGGATTGGTTTGGTACACCAACATGGCCAACGTTTCATTGTTTTGGAACACCAATATGGCTGCCGAGACGTCACGTGAAAACGATTTACACCATGACGTTGCATGTTTGAATATTTTGCTGGTTTTGTGTCACAAAGTTACGCTATACTGATAGTTCTTTCTGAAACCGGCCAAAGTTAATAAAAATGTTATGGATTATTTCCATTTATATGGCGTTTATTTTGTGATCATTGCAGGATGTTGAAGAGGACGTACAGGCGAACGTAGCCTCATTAGACAACGCCAAGGGGCTAGCGGACAAAATCAAAGAGCTTAGCAGCGAAGATCCTGTCATTAATAGAGACCTTGACGAAAACGTAAAGAAGGTAGAGCCACCCTTAAACGAGCTCATCTCTACCTTGAATGCGCGACAGTCCGAGCTACAGACAGCGCTGCTACAGAGTCAGGAGCTTAAAGATTCCGTAGAGGAGTTTAGCGGCTGGCTGTCGGCAGCGGAGAATCGGTTGAACCTCCAGGGACCCGTGTCTGCCAGGCATAAGGTGATCATGGACCAACAAGACAAGCTACAGGTATGCAGTTCTAATATGTAAGGCACAACATCCCGGGATGAAAAACACCCTTAAACGGAATCTTAGCTGCATACGAAACTAAGAGGAATTCTGGGTATTACAAACCAACAAAATTCAGTTTAGAATACGTAAGAACCAGAGCTTTTCAATCTGTTACATTATTGACTATCCATACATATCTACGGATTCTGTAACTCGCTTCTGTTTTTTTATTCCAAATCGCTTCTTATTTTCATTCATCTCTCTCAATAGTTTCTAAGCCTTAGCCATATCTGTAGTCATTGTTGTCTTATGACCTTTGTAAACTGTTATCAAGTCTTCGCTCATCAGCTTTGTAAGGAGTGATTGAATTATAGAATAATTCCTGAACGCTCTGACACCAACTCTGATTCTCTTTAGGTCCTTGAGAAAGATTTAGATCAACACAAGCCAGTTCATGAGCATGTCATGGAGAAAGGAAAAGCAGTACTGGATAACATGAAACCAGGACGCGAGAAAGACAACTTAGAACAGAAACTCCAAGACCTTGATACACGCTGGAACAGCCTCTCGGAAAGAATATCCCAGCGGGGCGAGAAACTTCAAGAGATTGAACCTTCAGCAGGCAAATATGTCAACAGCTCTGAACCTTTTACAAGCTGGCTTTCAGAATCAGAGGAGCGTTTGAAAGAATGCGAAAAGATCCCTGAAGACGAGGAGAACGCGACACAACAACTTGAGTTACTAGAGGTTAGTTTAGATTCAGAGAGAAATAAATCTTAAGAAAAAACAACTTGAAAAAGGCGGAAAGGTGTCTTCTAAAACGAGTGAAGGAAAGAATAACTTGATATATCTCACTCGTGGATTCTGCGGCTGATTTTGAAGGGATGTGTTTTGCTGCCGGTTTTGTACCCTTTTGGTAGCTCAAATATTCGGTGAAATTTATTTCAAGAACTTTTAACATGTGTGCGAAAGTAATTTGTTGAGCTTTCGAAGGCTAATGATGTTTCAAATCGCAGTACTGATCACGTTGCGTCTAGTGAGAACGGTATATTTCCTCGAGCCGTAGTGAACATTCTGGCAACAAGACTTTCCTCAGGTATTGTCATTGGTTTTAAGAGGGTCTTACTTTGATGTTAGTTTTCTTATCATACGTAACCTCCTGAGATTAATCTAACTCGGCTTTTGTTCTCAACAGAATCTTCAGCACGAAATTCTTGTACACAAGCCAGATCACCAGACATTCGTCGAGTCGTCCACACACCACACGGACATTTGCAGTGACAAAGAAGTGACAGATGATTTGTCTGTTGTGGAGGATGACATCGCCTCTATCGACAAGCGCTGGAATGACCTGTGTACCACTGTGGGTGATCGTCTCCAGACTCTGGAAAACATCCAGGAAGAAATTCATCGATTTCAAGTGGTGCTTCGCGTCACTCAGAAGACTCTTGTAGAGATCGAGCAGATTGTGGTTGTTGAGTACATGTTGGTGATGGATCCAAATAAAGCTAAACAGGAACTTGCCGAGATTAAGGTAAGAGAGCAAACGAACATTGGTCAGGTTATTGACCCGTCAATTTGGAATGAGTGGGCCATCTGAAGTGCAAGAGAAAGAGAACGTATAGAGTTTCCTGGAATACTAACTCGCTGTTGCATTTTGTAACCGAGTTTTTTTCATTTCCAAATATATTACAAATCCGAAGCACTCTTTTACTGAATTGTTTTGTTCGATTCAAACTTTATATATTTATTTTAGTGAGATTACAATGACAGAGGCTACGTAAAATACTCCACGTCTACCTTTACAAGAAATATTGTATATAGCTATTTATACCATGCCATAGAAATTACAGCCAATCAGAATACAGGTGAGCCATTGTGCATTCGACGGTAGTACGTCCAACCTTCCCATCATGCGCCGCGCGCGTTGATTGTGTTGACCACTGTATTTTCTATGTCTTGTGTATACCGAAAAAATATGTGTCTCGTGGTATATTCTGTGGTATATTCCGTGGTATATTCCGTGGTATATTCCGTGGTATTCCACGAGAGAGCATTGCATAACTAATATTGACTTTTATTCTTTTGCATTCCTTGCAGAAAGCCATCGTGCTTTTGAATAACCGCCGACCGGAGCTGAAAGACCTTGAAAGGTACGGAAAAGCTTTAACAGAGAAGACTAGTTCTCCTGAATGGCAAGAAAACGTGGCGGCCGTCCACCAGAAGTACAATACGCTAGAAACCAAGTTACACGAGAGAGAAGATTTTATGGAGAGAGTCGTTCACTACATTGTCATTTACACGACGAACACTAGGCAAATTGAAAGGAAAATCCCGAAGATCAAGGAAGAGATTTCCAGTCTTGCCCCTGTTAGCAGCGAACCAGAGGTGATCCAGGAACAACTCCATGACGCTGAACAGCTACAGTCCGCGCTTGTTGATGACCGTGTCTCCCTTGACAGTGCTCAGGAGGCTGCTGATTGGTTGGCTGCTAACTGTAACCCAGGCCATCAGGAGGAGGAGGAAATGAAAACCAGAGTCAAGGTGTCGAAAGAAGCATTGGACGAACTGATGGCTATCAACACTGAGCGGGAAAACGCTTTGAAGTGCGCTCTGATGCAGTCCAAGGAGTTCAAGGCTGCGTCAAATGACTTCCTCATCTGGCTGAACGGTGTGGAAGACAGGCTTGCTTCTCAGCCTCCTGTGACGTCAGACACGGACTCTATTCGAGAACTCAAGAAGGATCACGTGGTAAGTAAAGTTAGGATTTTTCCTAACTGTTGTCGAGGTTGCCTAGTATATCGTGTGATTTTCTTGAGCAGTCTGAACAATCTATATCCTTTTAGGTTCACTATAATCTCCTGGGTGTTTCTCCACCATAGCGAATAATTATTTGGAGTTGCTGCTTGATTTGTACTCTGCAAAAAGTTACTAAACTCCCTACATAACTTGACTTAAGTTATGCCGGCGAGAGCTTTGTTTTGAAGTATTGAGTCGTTTCTTGGAATAAATGTGTAGTTAACAGAAACAAACTTCTTCCTTGTTCGGGTTTTTATCCATTTTTTGTTTGTATCTCCGTCTGTGTGAATATAAAAGCGAACCAAAACGACCCAGACATCCCAAGATAAACACACTGAACTCGAATACAAATCTGTTCTAATTAAAATGTTCGCTTTTACCGTGTTGATACCTGTCATGTCTCTTATCAGCCTGTCTTTGAAGACGTACAACAACATGAGCCTGTGCTGGTCGTCTTAAAGAAGTCAGCTGATGAAGTCCTCCAAGCGACGGAGCCTGGTAAAGAGCGAGACAAAGTGGAGCAGAAAATGGGCCAGATACAAAACAGATGGGACAAGGTTCAAAAGAACGCCACTGACCGCAAAGCCTTGCTGGATCAGATAGAACCTGTAGCTCAAGAGTACGGCGAAGACCTTCAAAACTTCCTGTCTTGGTTAGTGACTGCTGAGAGGAATACAGCCCTCTTAAAGTATGTACCCTGCGATAGGAAAGGTCCTCAAAAGTACGAAGAACTTCTCAGGGAGATGGAGGGTGAGGTTGTTGAAAAGGAGAGCTCTCTCAGTGAATTAGATCACATCGCGCGGTCTTTGTTGGAGTTCAACCCAGAAGACGCCAATATCGTCAACTCACAAGTCCAAGACGTGAAGAATCGATTTGCCTCGCTTCAGAACATTCTCAAAGAGAAAGCAAACAACCTCGAGAGAATTAAACAACTCCTAGAAAACTTCAACTACCGCGTACATGCTGTGGAGGAGCTTGTGGTGCAAGGTGTTATCGTCTTCGCCTACAAAACGTCACTGATGGATGCTGATGGAATTGCTGAGAGGCTGGTCCTTATACAGGATGTATTAGATGCTTTTACAGATCAAGAGGAAGATTTAGAGCTGATTCAAAGTGTTGGAATGGACTTGCTTGACACTCTGGAAGATGACTCCCCAGATGCTGTGATCATCAGAAACCAGGTGGATACCCTGTACATGCGATTCCGCGTCACGAGAGACCATCTGCAGAAACGCAGGGCACAACTGGAAAAACACAATCAACACCTTGTGCCTTTCAGGGAGAACATCCAAGAACTTAAAAACTGGTTTGAAACTTTCGGCGATGTCGTTGAGAAACTAGAACCGATCAGCACCGAACCCAGGAAACTCAAACAGCAGTTAGCTGAAGCCGAGGAGTTGCAGAATGAAGTTCAAGAGAAGACGTATCTTCTCAGAAGTGCACAAACTGAAGGCGAGTGGATGATGGAGCACAGCAAAGAAGATGAAGATATGGTGATTGATGTGGTGACTATTCTAAGCGAGTGTCAAGCCAAGATGGATCGTTTAACAGCTAAATTAGATCAGCGGCATTCTCGTCTGCAAAGCGCAGTCATTGAGAGCCAGAGTGTAGAGGTGACTTTCGCTGAGTTTGTTGACGACTTGAGTAGGATTGAAGAGCAGCTCGCTGGTATGCGTCCCATCTCTGTGGTCCGTGACACGCTGAAGGAGCAAGAGCGCCAGTTTGAGGTACAAATCTTTTATCTCTTCACTACCGTTCTCAAAATTAAACTTAAATCCCAAATTTAACTGGCAAAATATCAGAAAACAAACGAGACCACATTACAGTGGTTAAATACTAGGATTTCTTCCGCAGGCTTTATAGTTAAAAAACTATAGAAAGCGAAAGTACTTTTTAGAAGCTTTTGATTCACACACAACATTTTCATTCACAGCCTTAAAGGTACCTACCTTACATAGTATAATAAATAGCACCACACGAAAGTGTTGCTCATTTACTTTCATTTAAATGGTCACGCACTAGAGTTTCATCCACAGACCTGAAAGTTAGAAGCACATAACGTTACTTGAATACGCACCGGTTAAACGCTAAACATTCAAGAGAACAATTACAGCGCAAATCAGGCAATCGGCTGCCGTGGCTTCTGAAGTGATTTCTTTGTTATTTTCACAGATCATGAAGGACGATGTTAAAGATTTAGACAATCTCGCCGACGAACTGATTTCTCGCGTGGAAAGCGTTTTAGAGAACGCCGAGCCTAGTCCAGACCGAGAAGCGTTGAAAACAAGATTCGAAGACGTGAAAGCAAAGTGGGCTGATGTCGAAGATAAAGTCAATAATCGACAAACTGAGCTCGATGAGCGCGCGCCAGTCCTTTACAAGTACCACGAGAAGGTCGAAGATTTTGTTGCTTGGTTGACAGAACTGGAAAGCAAAATATCCGCGCAGAGCCCTGTATCATGTGACACTAAGATGATAGTCAAACAACTAGAGCATGCTGAGGCGCTGATGACAGATTACGAGAACCACAAGCCGGATTTTGATGCTGTGAAGGAGATCGCTGTAGAAGTGATTGCAAGCCAGCCAGATGATGTGTATGTCGTGGAGGCGCAGTTACAGTACGTGACCAAGATGTGGGATAGCGTTACGTTACGTTTGAAGGCCAGATTGGATCAGATCAACAATGTCAAGGAGATTGCAGAGGAATATCAGAAGGCTCAGAGACCTGTTCGTGCTCTGTTCGCATGGGCAGAAGACACCATTGTACCCGTGGAGGCAATTGGATCAAACATTGAACGAGCGAAACAAGAACTAAACAACACAAAGGTACCTGATTGTAATCTTTTTACCCTGATACACGCAGAACGCCCAAAACAATACCAGATCTTTTCTCTAATTATGTTATTACTTATATAGGAAGTATATGGAAGAGTTCTTGCTTATTTCTTGTGCAATACAAACTCGTAAACTTCTGTTACCATCCTAATACAAATTTAATCCGAAAAATAAACATAAGTGCTGGCTACAGGATGAGTTTTCGCTTGTATTACCCATTCTGCTACTGCTACGTGAAGTCGACAAAAAATACAAACATCCTTTATGCATGAAATCAGCTCATAAATTTCTTAAAAGGTCTTGGTAAATTTTATGAGGTTATTTTTCGTGATAATGCTCGGACCTGTAGTTGGCCGGTTAAACGTGTAATTTTACGTGCGTCACGTGACAGCGCAAACTTGAAAACTAAAGAATAGGTCATTTTCGTATTCTCGGTATTGGACTGGAACTAGCTCGTAATGGAGGCTCATCCGGGGAATACCATTAAAAAGAGATAAACATGTGCATTTGAAAAGACTCCCCCACAGTAGCCTCAGTTGCAAGCTAGTTCCAGTCCAGTGTCGAGCATACGAAAACGGTCTATTCTCTCCGCTTAACAGCAAATGTAGTAAGCTTCGTTCTATCTTTGTTTTTTTTCCCAAACCATCAACAGGCCTTACTTACCTTGATGGCCAATCGTGAAGCAGACATGAAACAGGCAATGAAAGTGGGCCAAAACCTCGTCTTGAATGCAGACTCGTCGTCTCCAGAGGTATCGTCACTGAGGCAAGAAGTCAAGGAGATTCCAGACAGGTACGCTGACCTCAAGAATCAGCTGACAGAACAGCAGGCTCAGTTGGAGAGGATCATCCAGGACAGCTCCGCATTCCAACAACAAATCAGAGAACTTGAACTGTGGGTGACGGAGGTGTCTGAGAGTACAGCCATGCAAGAACCCATTAGTACCAATCCCAAGGTTGTGAACAAAAGACTGGAACAAACAGAGGTTAGTAAAGACAAGTTATATGTACCACAGTTAACGGGTTTTTGGTTTGCGTTTGTGCTACAAAATATACTCTGTGTACGAAAGGATTTGCTCAGTCTTTCTTTGTTCTTAGGCACGCATCATGTTGAAATCAATAAAATCTAAGTTCAAGTCCTTTTGGCTAATCGATGGCAAAATCGCTAATGAGTTCGTACCTTCTTTATAAAATTTTGAGTTTTGAAACCCGCGTCGAACAAAGAGTATTCAATAAATCGAGCTCAAATTCCATGGGACAGTTTTGTGTCCTTTCTATATTCAGAACTAATGCTTTTGCAGTTCCGTCAGAAACTCTATCGCTTATGCTAAATAGTTACATATTGTAAACAAAGATTCTCCCATGATTATTTTTAGCTATGTTGGATGCCATTAAGTCTTACTCGCTTTTTTTTCAACAGGCCTTGCAGAACGAGATAGCTAAGCAACGGACTGCACTAGACCGCACTAATGATCTTGGTAAGGTCATCATAGAGAACAGCAGTGATAACCCGCTGGTAGTAGCAGACGTGCAGGGGAAACTGACAAAGGTTCGGGTTCAGTTGGATCGCTTGGACGCCAGAATTGAACAACGCCACGCCATTTTACAGAACATTTTGCTCCAGATCCAGGTTTACGACGTGATGTTTGACGAGTTTGTATCCAAACTCGCCGAGATGGAAGATGAAGTGAACAACTTCAGACCTATTTCTGCCGTCCTGGAAATCGTGAGCGAGCAGAAAGAGCGCATTCAACGTAACGTTAGCGATAACATCGCCAGAAAGCAGCCCGTGTTTGAGAAGATCTTAGACGATGGGCTTGAGATGCTGGAAAGGATGGAACCCGGTAGCGAGAAGGATGCCCAGCAGGAGAAAGTGGAGCAGATGAAGACACGGTGGAACGAAGTCAAGGAAAAAACAGCTGAGATCCAGAAATGCGTGCAGGAGGTTCATGAAGCCTCGCAGAAATATGACCTTAGGGGAGAAGCCTTCAGAGAATGGCTTCAAGACGCGGAGAAGAAAGCGAGCAAGATCTATCCTGTGTCATGCGACGAGCACGAATTAGATGAAAGTCTGAAAGAAATTGAAGCAGTTTCCGCTGACATACAGTCTCACAAGCCTGACTTCGATGAGCTGGGAGAGTCAGCCAACACTCTAACCAGCTTGGCACAAGCTGATGGAGATGTCATCAAGGCTGACTTCAACGAGTTGAAGAGTCGATGGGAGGCTTTACAGGCCGCTGTGCTTGAGAAGAAAGCCAAGGTTGAAGAAGCCAAGGAGGCGATTGAGAAGTACCAGAGTGCTTTGCAGCCCGTACAGGAAGCTTTCACTCAAGCGGAAGATGCTTTGGCATCCCATGAGCCTGCGGGAACTGACGCTGATAAACTCCGACAAGAATTAGAGCAGATAAAGGCCCTGGTGTCGACTCTAGATGAGAGGAAAGGAGATATAAAACAGCTGAATCAATCAGGTCAACAACTTCTTCAACAAGCCGAGGACGACGCACCTTCAGCGCTGAGTGTGAAAGAACAGCTTGTAAACACAAACAACAAATCTAAAGATCTACCAGCCAGGCTTAGCGACAGACAAAAGGAGCTCGAGAAGACGCTAGAGGCCACTTTGAAGTTTAATTCGTCGCTTGAAGAGATAGAACAATGGCTTCCAGAAACTGTTGAAACTGTTGATGTACTAGAACCAGTGAGTTCAGAACCTGAAAAACTGAAAGAACAAATCAGGGAGACTGACGGACTGCTCGAAGAAGTGAAACGATACCTGGTACGCTTGTGTGTTGTGGAGGAGACAGGCCAGCGTTTGATTGAAGACAGCATGCAGAATCCAGACGCTGTATTCGACATTCAAAACAAGATTGAGAAAGCTCGCCAGCCACTTGACAAGCTCAACGCTAAGTTGGAACAGAGAAGTTTAAGACTGCATGATGCCGTATTGCAATCACAAGAGTTCCAAGAGGCGTACGATGATTTTGATGCTCGGTTAGGGACACTCGACGAAATGCTTCAAAGCCAGGAGCCAATTTCACCAGACTACCCTGCAACAAGACGTCAAAAGGACGAGACAGAGGAGTTAAGTGACTCCGTTGCCCAGATGCAGCCTGTGCTGGAGAAATTGCTCGTTGCAGGAGAAAAGGTTCTGGAAGCTTCAGATCCTGGAAAAGACAGAGATACTTTGCAACAGAAGTTAGATGACCTGAAGGAAAAATGGGAAAATGTTAAGAGCAGAGCCACAGAGCGTGACAGCAACGTCGCGTCTGTGATTCCTGATGCAAAATCTTTCCACACTGGCGCGCAAAAGTTTGACTTGTGGCTCTCAGAGACGGAGAGAAAACTCGGAGCCGTCAACACCGACTCTGTGAGCCCAGAAGAGCTAAGCCAACAGCAAAAAGCCTTAGAAGATCTCAAAAAAGCCATACAGAGCCAAAGACCGGATCATGAGTCGCTGAACAACACCGCTGAATCTTTGAAGGACAAGTGCAAAGATAACAGTTACTTTGTAGAAGTTCAAATTAAGGATGTTAACCGTCGCTGGGAGGAACTTCTAAAAGACATCGAGACAAAAGAATCGGAGCTTCAAACTGCTAAGGACACTGTTGATGAGTACCTTGATGCATTGGACACTGTAGAACAAGTTGTACAGAAGGCGGAATCAACGCTCGAATGCCAGCAACCAACCGATCTTGACGTCGCTAGGAGCAAGGAAGAGCTCGAAAAGGTGCAGCAAGTCGTGGAAGATCTCGAGAAATCCGAGCCTCGACACAAAGAAATGCAGGAGCTTGGCGACAAGCTACTTCAGGGAATGAATCCAGAGGCCATCGACGCTGTGATGTTGAAGCAACAGTTACGTAAAGTGAGTGATTCGTTCAATGACGCTCTTGTCAAAAGTAGAGACCGCAAAGCACAGCTGGAGAAAATTGTGGTCTTGATAATAGAATTTACGGAAAAATACGAGGTGCTGATAACCTGGACTGAGGAGATAACCATCGTGATTGAGACCATCCATGTGATAAGAACTAATCCTGGTGTTGTGAAAAGCCAGCTGGATGAAATTGAACACATCCAGGAAGACATTGTGAAGCACAAATACATTCTCGAGTCTGCTGATGAGGCTGGAGAACGGCTTGTAGAATGCTGTGACAACGAACCGGCAGTCCTAATGGAGGTAAACAACAAGATACACAAAGCGACGGCTTCACTGGAATTGCTTTCAGCTAAAGTTGATGAAAAACACAACATGCTGCAAGCCGCCGTTTTACAATCGCAAGAATTCCAAGAAACGCTGGATGATTTTGCTGACAAGCTGGCTAAGTTGGAAGATGATGTAGCTAAAATGGGACCTGTGTCTTCTCGGTATGATGTGTTACGCGATCAGAGCGAAGAGATTGAGCACGCCACTGCCGATGTCAAACAGCTCGAGCCAGTATTTGAAAAGGTCTCTAAAACCGGTGACGAAATTTTGGAGAGTCTTGAGCCGGGAGAGGAAAAAGACGAACTTAAAGAGAAATTAAGCGACCTCTCCACACGGTGGAATGTGGTGAAGACGAAGATTGAAGATCGTAAATCCAAAATCGACGACGTTTCAGTTGTAGCAAAGACACATCATGACTCGCTGCAATCGCTTCTGCCATGGATGAGTGATGCAGAAAATTGGGTTGATTCGCTCGAACCTGTCTCTTGCGATGAGAAGTGTATTTCCAAGGAACAAAAGACACTGGCCACATTAGTGCAGCAGCTGGACGAACGCAAGCCCGAGATTGACGCCGTAAATGATTCTTCCCGTGAGCTGGACGATCTGTGCGATGACGTACAGGTGGTCCAAGCCGAATCCAAGGATGCTAACAAAAGATGGGAGGTGCTAACGGCTAATCTGAAGGTACGACAGCAACATCTGGACAGCGTGTCTAGAATCCTGGAACAACTGACCAATCAGCTTCACCCAATCGAAGAGCGGCTAGACGAGGCTGAGGCGTTGGTAGATGCGCCTCTTTCGAATCTCACGGATGCTGGGAAAGGCGAAGAAGAGCTCAGGAAAATCGAGGTAACAGAATTTCAGTATGATTTTTTATAGTTATCATGTAATGGACCCTGTATAATTTACTCCATACTCCAAAACTGTTGTAGCCGTGCGATGCCTGAATTTGTATTTTCTATTGATCGATAAATTAATCGATTTGTTTTCTGGTTTCCAGGCCTTGTTGTCCGTCCTTAAAGAGCAAGAGCCTGAAATGAACGAAGTGAATGACAACCTGTCACTCCTGATGCAGCAGGTTGACGAAAAGACTCCCCACGCTACCCAAGTTAGGGAAGAAGTGTCACAAGCAGACCAAAAACAGAAAGATCTTATCGAAAAATTGAATGCGCGCAAAGCCAACCTGGAAGAAGACGTCCAACACGCTCGTGTGTTCCAAGGTTCGCTCGTGGACCTAGAGGCTTGGCTACCCGAGGCTGAGGAGCGTGTTTCTGCTCAACAACCCATCAGTACTGATCCTGAGACAGTCAGAAAACAGCTGGAAGAAGCACAGGTTGGTTCAAATATAACTGACTTGCTGTTTTTTGGTTTTATAGCTGGTGGTGGGAGGGGGGGAGAGGAAACGCGAGAGTGGCTTCGTTGTAATTGGCCCAAAACAAGTGGTCAGCCATCTATTGAACCCTTAACGCGTAAGTTCATTGAAATGGTCGTTTGAAGTTTGATAGCAAAATAACTCTCATTGTAGGGTTTACTGTGACTGTTCAATGGTTGTTTATTGGATCTTTATACTAAACTACGGCCGGCAAACCGTAGAAACACTGCAGCGAAGTTTAACCCGTCATAAGTGCTTAACGCGGAATTTTTATTCTTGCATACTAATTGTGATTTTCCTTACAAATTTCCAAACGTTCGTTAAATTTTTGATTTCTGAAGATGTGGGAGTTTGACAATGCATTGGTATTGCTGAGCGAAATTGTGCAGTAATTACACGTAGGAATGTAGTTTAAAGTCCTCGAACTCCTCGAGGTTCGAGGAGGCTACAATAAACACTTTTTGCGTGGAAAATTAAGTTATACTGATCTTGAAAAAGATTTTTTGACGCTCTTTATTCAATTTCTTGTTTAGCGCTTAACGTTTCCACAAGGCAACTTAATTGAAGAGGGTTCAAGATTAGTTTTTTTTTTATCAGCATAAAAAGATCATTCGTTTTAGAGAACAAGTTTGCTCTCTTTTATCTGACGTATCTTTTTACGTTCAGCCGTTCGTGACATGTCAAAGTTGGGCAATCTCTTCCTTGCTTCAATTACTCGCTAATCATTTGATGCAAATTACAAACAATGCTAACAACACATATTAACATATAATTAGCAGGGCGTAAGCCTTTCTAGTTTTAATCTCAACGAAAAAAAACCCTTGTGTTTTGTTGTCTTGAGCAGTCACGGCGATTCGCTGCTGTTTGTGTTGTTGAAATGCAAGTGGTATTTGCAGTTGGTGAGAAGTGTTTGGTTTCACGCCTTTCCAGATCAATGATATCTCTGTATGCTTGATCAAATCATCTCCTTTGAGACTTAAGCCGCTTTGACACCAGTAATAATTAAATACCATAACAGGTATTTTATTGTTATATTCGTCCAACATCTAAAAGATGACAAGCGCTTGCATTTCATGAATAATTTAAGCCGCTCGCAGTTTGAAGGGCTGTTGTGGTTGAAGCGGTCCAAATTTCGTGCCAAAACAGATGCATAACGTGCAAAACGAACGCCAAAAGACACAGAACTTAAGCATGCATGAAAACGGATTGAAAGAGCATCGATTTTACCGAAGGAAATCTAGCAGGGTTTGTGGAGAAGTATTTGTTGTTCCATCAAACGTGGTCCCGAGTCTTGGCTTCGTACGTGAAGACTTCATCCTGGTAATTATAACCTTGCCATTGTTGTTGGAGTGCCGCCGACAGTGATCTGTGTGTGTGCTTTCTATTTCTCGATGGTGTCAACCGTTAGATCTCTGCTTGAGGTTAACCATCACTGTGGTTGACTTACAAGTCACAGTTGTCTCGGCCCGAAGATCCCGAGTCTACAGGAATTTAATTAATTAACGAGCATTGTGTGGAGTCCTTTCGCCTTCAAGTCTCTTGTATTTCCCGCCTTTATCGCTCGAAAGTGTTTAAAAAATTTTCGCATGGCGCGGCGTTTTATTGCCTTGAAATAAAACTTGTGTTACTTGTACTAACGGCGTTGGTAACAGGTGCCTTTGGTAAAGATTACGTTACATTTTTGTTCGCTCGCACTATTTGGGTGTCAACCTTATCGTGCAAGTAAACTAAATAATATATCTCTCTATCCTAAGCGATATCACTGAGTGGTATTTAGCTGTGTTATATCTCGAGTAGTGTGAAAAGATTTGTTTGTTGTTATGTCTTCTAAGGTTTGTGATTATTATTACTGGAGAGGCCCCACTGGTCTTTATGATTCCACTTCGATGAAATGATCTTAAGTTCGGCTGTACTTCTGTTTACTTTACTTTCACCTAGAACTAGCCAGCGTAACTGTTAACTGTTAAGCGAGCTTACTGTCATTAAAGCAGGGAGAGCAGCAAAGTTTTGGTCATCCCGTCATCGAGAAAGACAAACCGCGGGATTAGCATAAGACAACGATACACGGGAGATGATCACGAGAAATGCGTGACCAGACGTGTGTGTCTCAAGCGGTTAATTAAATTTTGATGAATCTTTAATACCAAAGCAATTTGTTTCTTTCTTGGCAAAAGGTTCTCAAAGATGACATCACGAAGCACAGGGCACTCTTCCAAACAGCCGAGAATGCGGGACAGAAGTTGATAGAAAGAAGTCAAGAGGATCCAGCAGTTGTGGCCGATGTTTACAGTAAACTTTACAAGGTGCGCACTGCACTGGACAAACTCTCAGCTCGAGCAGATCAGCGTGTCGGTCGACTGCAGCATGTTCTGCTGCAGAGTCAAGAGTTTCACGTTTCCTTTGCTGAGTTTCTGGAGAAACTGGGTCGAGTGGAAGAACAGATTGCTCTCCAGGCCTCAGTGTCTGGAGTGTACAGCACGGTCAAGGAGCAAAGTCAACAGCAAAAGGTAAGCAAAGAGACAATGTTTGTCTTTTGCAGCCATGGCTCTTTTCTGAATGTAACTCTGTCCTTAGTCGCGTTACATTTGAACAGGCAAAGTGTAAATAAATGCCTAGCACTTGAGATCTTTGTCGTTACCAAGTCCCTGCATACTTATATTTGATATTTCAGTGGAATCCCGATTTTTCGAACCTTCAAGGGAAACGAAAATTGGTTCGGAAAATCGGAGAGTTCGAGAAATCGGGGGTAAAATTACAGTGTTCGACTGAGGAGAGGGAACGACTTTTTTGGTTGGAGTTATCGGGAGGTTCGAGAAATTGGGATTCCACTGTGTTTAGAGATATTTTTTCCTACTTCACCTCCTGCCTGGACTATACGACTGTACTTTATTGTTTGTATTTGTAGTTAAGTTAAGCTGTTTGTTTGTATGAATAAAACTGTTGTTGTTAGTAACGATCGTATTTTAAATATCATGTTCTCTTAAAAGTCTGTGTTTTGCACTTGACGTCTCACTTTCCAACGGTTTGATGTAGTGTTTTATTTTTCCTTAGCCCGTTAATGACACCATTCAGCAGCAAGAGCCATTGTTTGAGCAGCTTGTTCGAGCAGGACGAAATGTTTTGGACACATCTGAACCCGGCCCGGATAGGGACGCTCTTGAGGATAAACTAAATGATGCTACACAACGGTGGGAGACGGTCAAAAAACAGACCGCTGACCGACAGGAACAGCTAGATCAAGTGCTGCCACTTGCAAAAGAGTTCCACAGTGAAATTCAGGACATTACACCATGGCTGAATGAAGCTGAGAAACGCCTGCAGGCTGTAGAACCAGATTCTTGTGACCTAAGATCCATTGAGAAACAGCTAGATACACTAGATGAACTGAAGAAGGAGATTGCCGATCGCAGACCAATTGTTGAGACCGCGAAAGAAACTTCTTCATCTCTGTCGAACAGTTGTAGTGCAGACAGGTATGTAATCGAAGGAGAAGAGCAAGATGTTAGAAAACGCTTTGATAATTTGTCTGCGGAAGTACCCAGGCTTGAAGACAATTTGTCAGCTTTGAAAGACGCTTTAGAAAAATACAACAAGACTTTAACTCCTACTGAAGAACTCCTAGAACGCACAGAAAAGGCACTGGCTTCCCGCGAGCCTACTGGTATAAATGTGGACAAAGGTAAAGACCAACTCAAGGCCGTCGAGGATCTTTTATCGTCGCTTAGAGCCGCCGAACCCGATGTAAACGATCTGAAGGAAGCTGGTGATAAACTGACATCTGCTATGGATCCGAAATCCGCTGAAGTCCCTCGCGTGAACCAGGAAGTGGATGCTGTGACCAGACGATACAACGACCTGCTGGAAAACTTGAACAATGAAAAAGATCAACTCGAGAAAGAAACCGAGAAAGCACTGAAGTTCCAGGATGCTTTGCACAACCTAGAGGAGTGGTTACCTAGGGTGGAAGAGGCTGTGGCAGCTCAGGAACCAATCAGCAGCGACCCGGAAGTAGTTAAACAACAGCTCCAACAGGCAGAGGTCAGTGATAGTTTTGAACGTTATTAACATCTGAATTGTCACAACTCTCCCTAATCACTAACAATGTATGGGGCAGTGGATTCTTGAAACGTAGTGTCTTCATCAGCTCATTAACGCTTTATGCTTAACAATATCAAATGCTTGGTAGAGAATTTTTCAAATTGAGTTCTCCAATTGGTTAGAAAATACTCGTGCAACTTGCTCTTAGCAATCAACGTCGGTAAAGTAACCTAGTGCCTCTCACCTTGCAGGCTTTGAGAGATGAAATCGCGAAAAACAAAGCCTTTTTAGACACACTGGAGGACACAGGCAAAGAAATCATTGCAGATAGCAGCGAAGATCCCCAAGTGGTGCGAGATGTCAGAGGTGAACTGAACAAGATCGTTTCGCCAGTTGAAGCAATTCTCCGTAAACTTACTGAACGTCAAGTCAAACTACAGAATGCTCTACTGCGCTCACAGGAGTTCCAGGTACAAACTGATGTTCGCTTGCAGAACCTTTGTTCAGTTCTTGTACTACACGCATTTCTTTACCAAAAGTTTCATCTTAATTTTATGATAAAAAAGTGGGGGTGACCGTGCTCATTTTTGAGTTATTAGCACTTAAAGCTAAAGCTAAGGGTCTTTTTAATAGGTTGTACTGTTGCTATGGTAGTCTATCATGCTATTTAGATAACCATTATTGCTTCACCAATGGCTTGGCATTTATGTGATACCAATATTGTAACATCACTTGATAAACAGTCCTAGTATTCATCCGTGAAAGTGTAGCTCTTGGAAAAGTGTTGGAAACTGTTGCCAGGCTCCTTTAACTGACGTGAAATTTAAACGTTTTAAATAGCACTTGTAAGACATTGTGTTTGTTTCAATTATTGTGTTCTTTTGAAGGTTTCTTTCGACGAATTCATGGCCAAGCTAGACGCTTTTGAAGAACAACTGGCAAAGCAAGAACCCATTTCCGCTTTGCATGAAACCGTGCAAGTTCAGCGGCAAGAGAACGAGGCGTTGCAAAGAGACCTGGCTTTACAAGATCCAGTGTTTGAGAAACTTGTTCAAAACGGACAAGGAGTTGTCGACGCGTTGGAGGATGCGCCTGAAAGGGAAGCCATGGAGAAGAAGGTCGCTGAATTGAAGACGAGATGGCAAGATGTGAAAGACAAGGTTGGCGATCGTCAGAAGCAACTGATTAAGGTCGAGAAAGAAGCGCTGAAATTCCGTCAAGAAGCTGATTCCTTGTCATTGTTGCTCGGGGATGCAGAAAAACAGGTGGACGAGTTTGAACCGCTTACTGTGGACATAGAAAGCATCGCCAAACAGAAAGAACTTGTGCAGCAGATTACAGGAATGGTGGACAAGCTCAAATCCGATGTTCGCGACGTGGGAGGAAGCGCTGATGAACTGAAGGAAGACTCGCAGAGAGATGAACCTGTTGTGCAGGCAGAGGTTGAAGACTTTGTGGCAAGGATCGAAAAATTGTCAGCTTCCTTAGACCAGAGGGTTGAACAACTGTCTGCAATAGAGGCAGCGTCACATGACTATCACGTGACTGTAAAGAAGGTGGAGGATGTATTTAGCGAGGCTTTTGATGTTGTTGATGCTCCAGTTGTGTGTGCAACAGACACTGAATCAGCCAGTCAACAGCTTGCCAAGATCAAGGTATACCTCCATCTCTTTCCGTTTAGAAAGCGCCAATATGATCCGCCGTTATGTTGAGTAATCGGCGTTCTTTTCTCAGTTTCATTGCAGATCGTTGCGACAGGCCTAGTGCATACATATATTTCATGTTACATTCAAGAAATACAAATTAGCTCGCTTGTTTTCAGTAGAATTCTTAGTTCATGTAAACCAAAGCCGAATGTCGAAATCCACCAAGCATACATGTATCATGGGTTTAAATCAATTTATGTAAGGAAAAAGTGGCCTGTTTTCTTGCAAAATTTTTTCGATTCTAAAATTCAAGGCATGTTTGCATAGATCTGTCCTCTTTGCTTCAGTTACTTGTCAAAGTAACTTAAAACAATTTAATCAATTCAATTTAAGTGATGTAATTTCTTTTTATGCGTTTTTTTTTTCTTCCTTACAAAGCACTATCGGTTACTTTACATATCTATGTATTAGCTAGGAATTGGAGGAATAAATAAATAAAAATAAATAAATAAATAAAGTAACCTAAAACGATTAAATCTAGGATCTTGCGATAGCTTTGGTATCAATACTCCTATTTAGCGCCTAATTTGAGAAGTGGTTATTTTACGTGTTATTTATTATGCCTTTCAGGAACTAACTGCTGTTCTCGATGACCACGCCCCGGAAGTACAGAACGTAGGTCACAAGGGAGAGAGCTTGCTACAACAGGTCCATGACTCGTCACCAGACCATGCAGTCGTCACCGGCAAAGTTGCCGACGTCTCGCAGAAGTTCCAGGAGCTGCAGCAGAAGCTCAAGGCTCAAGAGGAAGCTCTCTCCAACAAGATCAAGGACACGGATGACTTCAACGCCAAGGTTGACGAGCTCGATACTTGCATACAGGACGCTCGTGAGAAGCTCGCTGCTGTTGGACCTGTCAGCACTGATCCTACAACTGTAGAGAAACAACTGGACCTTGTACGGGTGAGTAATAAGCCTAAAGAGTGCCAAATTTCAAACTAAAAAAATATCAAAGTAAAAAATATTTATATTTGTGCGTATTTTGCTGGATGCTGAAAAACAACAGACGTACTGCTCAGTAGCTTTCAGTAGTTACACGCTAGGTTTTCCTCTTCAGGCGTTAAAGTAAGAACAACCTTGCACAGTAAAATACAATTCAGTGCCACATTTGAAAGGTCACACACTCGGGTTACATTTTGCTGACTAAAGAGTAAGACTTGTACAGCATAATAAACGATAGCAAGAAATGAAAGTACTGTACAACAACCAACTTTTATTTGAATGGTCACACACAAGAGTTTCTTCCACAAACCAAGAACTGGGAAACGTTTGGCAGAGCAAATTGAACAGTACCATTTGAAAATTAATGCTCAATAGCTTTCATTTTAAGAATAGTTATTTATGTTTGGTTATTTGTACGCTGACGTCGTGTTATCTTTTCTATTTCTTAACCGTTGCTATTATTTATCAGGCCTTGAAAGCGCAACTGGAAGAGAAGAAACCAACACTAGAAGATGCCCAGGGCTTGTGCGATAAACTGACAGATCAGAACAAGGATGAACCGCTAGTTGTGGCAGCCATCAAGAACAAACTTGACAAAGTGGAGTCTCCATATGAAGACCTCAGGGCCAAGATCACTGAACTGGAGGGCAGATTGCAGGCAGCTCAAATACGCTCCCAAGAATTCGATGTTTCATTCAGCGACTTCAAAGATAAGCTTCAGGACATGGAGGAACTTACAGCAAATCTTCAACCTGTATCGGCCGTGTATGATACACTCAAACAACAGAGGAGTGACGATGAGGTACATGTAAAATCGCAACAGAATACTGTGCAATTTCCGTTTGACATAAGCTGGACTGGCCACTAAGTCAGTCGTAAACTTTGAAAGGCCACGTTTTCAGATAGGTAAATCTTTCAAAGAAGCCTGGTTTAGTTTATTCAGTCTATCAACAGACCCTCTATTTTGTCTTGAGTTCGTCGAGACCGCGAGCTTGGCGAAATATTAGCCCGGCGTTGCATCGCGTCTAAATATTTTTCTTGACGTAGCAGTTTTATGCTTGCCACCTTCCACTAACAGTGTGTAAATTTAACAGGGTAATTAGTACGCTACTTTTAGACTCGGCATGACTACGTTACGTTTTTTTTTTTTTTTTTTCAATGAAGAGCAAGTTGTCCACGAAAACGTTAGTTTTGCAACGTGCAAAATAAGAGAAAATAGATGCCATTTTGCTAACATACGGCTGTAAAGCTAGTTTAGCATTCAGAAGTGCGATATATAGAAACAAACTGAGGGCTTTTGAGGGTAAAAGCTAGATTTGTTTAACTTTGCAACTCGAACTTTTGGTGTTAAGTAGCTTCTTCAAACCCGAAAGAACAACTTCAATTTGTTGCTTACAGGAACTACAGGAAAAGATCAGACACCAGGAACCTGTGTTTGATCAGCTTATGAAAAATGGCAGTGGTCTTCTTGAAAGCGCGGAGCCTGGAGCAGAAAAAGACGAACTCGAAAGTAAACTCGCAGACGTTGAAAAGCGTTGGAATGAGATCAGACAGAACACCGCTGAACATGTAGCTCGCATTGATTCAGCTCTTCCTGAGGCAGAAAAATACAACGAATCAGCAAGCAGTCTTGGGCCGTGGCTTACAGAAACTGAGCAAAAACTAGCCTCACTAGAACCTATCGTAGCTAGCAAGGAAACTGTAGAGAAACTAAACAACACCGTGAGATTGCTCCGTGAAGATATCGACAAGCACAGACCTGAGAGAGACGCGGTTAGCGAGAAATCAGAAGCTGTGATAGAATTGACTGAGGCTGACGGAGATATTGTCAGAAGCGAGGCTCAAGATGCTGTGGAACGATACGACGAGTTAAACACCGCTTTTGCCACCGAAGAGAAAGAACTGCAAGAAGTTTTGGAATTGTTAGATCAGTATAACAATCTAATGGAGCCTGTGGAAAAAACAGTTGAAAAAGTCGACGCCGCTCTCGAGTCCCAAGGACCAATTAGTGCTGACGTAGCAAAGAACAAGGAAGATCTCGACAACATAAAGGTAGCCTTGAATTTTTGTTATCTGACCTAAATGTATCACAGATTTACTGTGTCGTAGAAATAATGCATAGTAGGATTAGCTACCAACAAACATACAGTAGCGGGAATTTTGGTAAAGAATTTATTTTTTGGCCGGAACTAATAATTCCAATAGTCCAAAACAACAGATATCCTTGCTTTTTGTTTTTACGTTTCGTTACCTACTACGAAAGAACAAAATGACGACTTGTTTGCGGTAGTTTCATTGGCTCACTGGCAGAAGCATTTCGTGAAATTAGTCGTTCGTAATAAAGCTTTTTCTTTTTTTTCATTCATTTTTGAGTTTTCTAAGCTGCCAACAACCGTTGCTCTTGTCTAATTCTTCGCTGTTTGCCTTTCTTTTACCAACCAGGCGCTGATCCAGCAGTTGGAAGACATGAAGGAAAACTTCGACAAGGCAGAGACTAGCGGACAGCAAACTGTGGACGTCATCTCTGCTTCAAACGGTGATCCTTCACTAGTCCAAGAAGAACTTGCAGCAGTTAGCCAAAAGTATCGTGCTCTCCTAGGTCAAATAAAAAACAAACAAGCCCAGTTGGAACAGGCTATTGATCAAGGCACGCAAGTACAAGACAAGCTGGATGAAATGCAAGCTTGGACTGACGATAGTGACGGGGCCGTGAAAGCCTGGGAGCCAATAAGTACAGATCCTGTTACGGCACAGAAACAACTGGAGCAGTTGCAGGTCTGTATGGATTCTAAGTTCAGCGATAATTAATCAAACATAACGAATCCGTCTGTTTTGGCTAACACATCGCCTGTACGTTAGCCACTCAAGTTCTTAATTAAGCAAAAATGAAATGATTCATGCGAGCTTGTGCGGGAAGTCGTTCTATTCACTCAAGTTTACGATGTTTGTGAATTGTTTAAATTATTGAGTGGGTTACAAACAGAAGTTGCAGTTTACTTCGGTTGTAGCAGATATCAGCCTAGCTTGAGGATGAAACAAGCTTTTTATGTAAATGATACTTGATATACAGTAAAATGCTGAGTACTCTCAATGGAACTTGACAGAAAGCCTGAGAAAGTGGTGTTTCCAGATTGGTTTTTGGAGCAAGGTAATCTGGCTCAAGATAGCGATGTTCTCCTGTTCTAAAGCCTAAGGACATAGGTCCAAGAAAATATCTTCCTATTGCAAATTTATCTTTTACTCGTGCCATTGCATTTGGTATCCTACCATGCCAGCGTTTTGTATTGTTTTATAGAGAAACGTTGTAATGCATGCACTAAAAGTTCATTTTAATGGTAGGCGCTGAAGGATGATCTTGAAAAACAACAAGAAAATCTGAAAGACAGCAAGACCTTAGCAGAGAGTCTGCTGTCTGCCAGTGAAGATCCAGTGTCTGAAGCCGAACTACAAAGCCGTATATCCAGAGCTGAACTCGACTTGAAACAGCTTGCTGAGCAGATTGAAGAGCGGGAGAATCAGCTTCAAACTGCGCTTACTCAGTGTGGCCAGTTTGAGACTGATTTTGATGATTTCTTACGCTGGCTAACCAAGACGGAAAGAACTGTGGCTAAGCTTAGACCGATTTCTGCTGACGTAGCGACTGTTCAAGATCAGAAAGACAGTTATCAGGTAGGTATAAACTAATGTTTTACCTATTTGCTTGTTTGTTTTTCTCTCTTTCTTTGAAAAGTTTCAGTTCAACCGCCAGACACCGATTACGAAAAACGAGATCTAAATTTCGCTATTCCTAACTTACCTTGTTTAAGATATATCACTGCTGTTTTATTTATTTCTTTTTTTATGAATGGAATGCAAACAGGTCTCCAGCCGATTTCATTTTCTGTTTGCCGTTTTCCTGTCAAAACGGCGCCGAGTGCCTCGTTCTTTTTCAAATTTTAGTGTTAACAGAAAGCTCGGCTCTTTCTTCTTATGTGATTTGCCTCCTCCGTGAGTGATAGATGGGGTGATGTGATAATTCGTTTTCCAGACAGAGTAAAGAATAAAACAATATGTTTTGGATAAGGTGGGGTGTCATCCGAGAATTATCAATTTGTTAACCTCTTTGTCGATTAGAACTTTAACCAGGGAAAAAAAGAGAATTGAAACTATTGAGTTTTATGTGAAAAGCTTTCAACAAAACTGTGTCATGTGTCAATTATTTGCATCATATTTAATGGCCTCGTGTACTTAAAACATTCCAGGACATCCACCAGGAGATTAAAGACAAAGAACCAACTTACATGGCCTTGATGGCAGCCGGAGAGCAGCTGAAGGAAACAAGCCAACTACCCGCTGACCGAGATAACCTGCAGGAAAAACTCGACAACATGAGCCAGCGGTGGACAGAGCTGAACGAAGCGTCAGATGACCGCACCGCCAAGTTGGAACAAGCAGTAAAACTGACTAATGAGTACCAGGAACAGCGCGGCCACTTTGTACCGTGGCTGGACGGGGCTGAAAGGAGAGCGGACGCTATATGCTTGACCTGTGATCCAAAAGCCCTTGAATCCTGCAAGCAACATGTCGAGGTAATTTTACAGAGTAAAATTAACCGTTCAGTCTAGCATCGCTTTAGGCATGATTAAATCTGCATCGTTTGAAATGGTAAATGCCAAAAGGAACGTTGCCTAGGTTGTAGTTGAATTTTATAATTTATTGTACATTGTGTGAAATTGAGAACTTTCGTTTCCTGCAGGAGTTACAGCAAGATGTTGAGAACCATTCAGATCCACACGATGAACTTGACAACACAGCACAGGCAGTCACTCGAGTTTGCGTTGAAGAAGTGAGCGCTGTCGAGGATGACATCCAAAGCGTGGACAAACGATGGAACGACTTGAGCAAAAACCTTCAAAGCAAACACTCAGACATTGAAGCTTTACAAGGCCAGCTGCAGGAATATAAAGTTGCCGTTGATGGAGTTGATGAGAAAATATCTGCTGTGGAAACTGATCTTAACGTGGAGAGAACACCTGTCTCTGATGTGAAGGAGGAGAAGAAACACATTGAGAAGCTTGAGGCGTTAAAAGAACAACTAGAAGAGCTGAAACCAGAGTTTCAGTCGGCTGTTGGAACAGGTAATAATATTCAGGAAGGTAACCCGAGCGCTGACACAGCCGCTGTTGAATCAGAGAACAAGAAGTTAGAAGACCATTACGCTGAAGTACAGGACAAGCTGGTTGACGCGATCGACAAAAACAAAAAGGTGCTTGCAGACCTGGAGGAGTACTGGGAACAAGAAGCCAAGCTAGAGGAGCAGGTTAAGGAGACTGAGGTCAAATTGGAAGAAAATAAACCCGCGGTGATGGATGCTGAGAAACTTAAAGAACAACTGGAGAAGGCAAAGGTACGCAGTCTTGTTCTACTTTTCAAACAACTTTCAATTAATTTTAATCTGTAAGACATGTACCTCTCTGGACCCGCTATTGTAAACACTACCTCTGGCTAGGGAATTGTTGTGACTTGTTATCAATTGCTTTAAGAACCAATGAAATAACTCCTTCCGAGCTAGTGGGCCAATAAGGGGAATATCATCTATCCACCAGTTATCCACTAGTGCTTCTTGTATCCGCTTGACCTGTGACGTTAAAAGTACCCCTGTTTCTCTAACCCTGACAACGGTTGCATTGAGAGCGAACTGTTTTCATGTCATAGCAAAGGCAGCTGGCGATTGCGTCAGTGGTAGCGAGTGTAATCATTATCAAGAAACCAGCTTTTTTTGAAGGGATCATGACTGATGTTTCTTGTCTATCTCTTAGCTGCTGAAGGCAGAAGTAGACGATCTAAAGCCTGATTTTGACACAGTTAACAAGCAAGCTCAAGCGCTGATCTCCGCTGGCCTTGGGTTTGATTCGGCGATGGTGAAACAAATGTCTGACACTGACAAGCAGTGGAATGACGTCAATGACGCCGCAGCCAATCAGCAAGCGGAACTCGAGAAGGCATTGCAACAAGTGGAAGAATTGCAGGAAGCATTACGTCAGGCAGACCAGGCCATGAGTGAAACTGAAGACAAGGTCAAACAGCTGCAACCGATTGGCGCTGATGTGGACACGATAAACCAGCAGTTGGAGGACATCAAGGTCAGAAAAACACTACAGGCATCGCTATGTGTTTACTCTTTCAATGTCAAGAGGGCAAATTGCTTCAGTATTGAGTAGAAAAAAATCGCTTTGCAAGGCACCATATAAATGCACTGTTCAAGTTTCATTTGAATGTTCTCATACAAGGATTTCCTTCTAGGACTACAAAGTTAAAACTACCTTATTATAGACACGAGAAACAGTGCTACACGAAGACCACAATCGCAACGTTTTACTCTGAGAGTGAAAGGGTTGATTATACAGTGGGACCTTGGTATAACAAAGGGCCGAGAGACTGACAAAATATTTTCGCTATTAAGAGGTTCGTTAAATCGAGGTTCCACTGTAGCAGTACTCAGCATGTCGTATTAACTACCATTGACAAGGTTGTGTTGGTAATCTGGCGCGAATCCCGCGTTCTTAAAAAGTAGATCTTAATTTAATGTGTTTGTGACCTCGTGAACAGGATTTACAAAAGGAAATTGATGGACTTCAGGACCAGCTTGCAGCACTAAATGATCTGAAATACAAGATGGCCGTGGCGTATCCAGACGCTGACACCAGTGACATCGATCAGACCATAAGCGATCTAAACCAGCGACTTCTAGCCATGAATCAAGACCTTGGCAACAGGCAGACCAAGCTAGAAAACGCGCTGCTGGCCTGTGGCAAGTTCCAGGATGCTTTGCAGTCACTCCTTGACTGGCTAGCAGAGACACGTGAGCTGGTAGAGAATCAAGGTCCCATTGCTGCAACTGACCCCAATGTAATGAAGGCTCAGATGCAAGAACAGAAGGTAAGTACCGATATAAAAGGGGTCTGCTGGTGTGTCAAGATTATCTTTTTAAACTGCTCGTGCTTTTATTTGCTGATGCTGGATGATGAAATAATGAGTTATTCTGTGATGCACGGAATCACTTCTATCTCGACGTGAAACTCAAAATAGCAGTATTCTTAAGAAGAAAAGCATCAAAGGGGTAATTTTAAACCATAAAAGAAGGACGGATTTTCGATTAATATAAGAATTTTTCAACTACAGCTGTTTACCCGAATGATCGCTGACCGAGCGCCTGCAGTGAAGTCGTTACAAGAAACTGGCGAAGAAGTTCTGAAAACTGCTGATGATGACACCAAGGCGCGTATAGAAGAAGGGCTGGCAGATGTCACACGTCAATGGGCGGAGCTTAATGACATGACAGACACCAGGAAAAACGCACTGGACGTTGCCATGGAAGCAGCTGTCAAGTTTGATGGACAGCTTGCTGATGCCGATAAGAAGATAGCCGCTGCTGAGGAAGAACTGCAGGCTCAACAACTGGGTCAGAAAGCAGAACCTGAACATATCCAAGAAGAGGCGAAAAAGCTGCAGGTAGGCATAAGACAGTTTTAATTTTAGGTTCCAATGCAGATTCTTTCAGTAGATGACAACTTCTTATAAATCAGAAATTTAAAATCAAGATTAAAATCTGCTTTGTTACTCGGCAAAAGATTCTTAGCTGGGGCAATGTGGCTTGGATTTGATTTCTGTCTGTAGTCATATGTGGTCTGAGTTTGTTGGTAGTTCTCTCGCCTTGTTCCGGGGGGGTTTTCTCCGAGTCTCGATGATCAACGTTTCGGACTCTCTCGCATGAAAACCGGCTACCACTGATGCGACTATGTTTATTTCTTGATTTATTTTTGTCTGAACATCTTGCTTCACTCTCGGTTTGACAGGAGTTGTGCCAGGAAATTGACAGCCTTGAGTTCCCAGTCCAAGACGCAACACAAGCTGGCGAGGAACTCATGTCCCATTGCACCGACGGAGATAAAGACTTAGTCCGTGACAAAACAGACAAGCTCTTGCAGCGTTACAAAAAGCTGCGTGACCAAGCTAATGATAGGAGGAAGGAAGCTGAAGATGCTGCTAAACTTTCGGAAGAATTCTTTGACGCCAAAGATCAGTTGATTGCTTGGTGTGACGACACTGCAAGTAAACTGGAAGCGGCGAAAGATGAAAGTGAAAATGTTCAGCAGGAGATGCTCAAGGTTCGTGATCAAGGGATTTTCCTTTAGTTGAGATCATCGTTTACGAATAGAATATCACCTGAAACCAATAGGGTAAAGAGTTTGGGAGGGTTCGAAGTTAATATGAAACCGAGCCGCAAGCGAGGATTTACAGAACTACTAATAAGAAATCGGGATTCGGAATTCTGGCTTGAAGGAATCTAAACAGTTTGCCTTTTACATTAGCTGCACTCGTCTTTTTCTGTTTCATAGAAGATCTAACAAAACGACATGTTAATGTACGATTAGTTGCTAAGCTATGTGCTGCGTGTTTGTTGCAGGATATCCAAAAAGCTCTAGCAACTAAGGAACCAGAAGTGTCCTCGTGTAGAGAGATGGGTGACAACCTCAAGAAATATCTCATCGACGACGAGAAGCCGAAAGTAGACCAAGCTCTGAGCGAGGTTGATGAGAAATGGAACTCATTGCAAGCAGAGGTCGACAAGCTCGCTAAGAAGTTGTTTTCATCTCAGGAGCGCGTTGAAAGCTTCCAACTTGAAGTGAACGAGCTGAAGACATGGCTGACAGATACAGAAGGGACGCTGTCCAATATGGACCCAGTGGGTGTGGAACCAGAGAGAGTTAAACAGCAACTTGGCGATCAGGCGGTGAGTAGCCTCGCCTTGAGGACGAGATTGCATTGATCAATATATGTTAATCACTGATTGTCGTGTAGTCTTTGGTTACTTTTACCAATGCGGCTCACCTGACAAGCAAAGAATTGTCAGAACAATATAGAGCAATGCTTGTATGGCTGGCTTGCGACTCATCACCCAGTTACCAAAATTTCTGTAGATTTCTTTAGCCAATCTGATTTCCGATTTAGATAATTCAAATAGTTGGTATGAATTTTGATGCTGGCTGGAAAAGACGGGTTAATTCTTATCATTTCATATAGTGAATTTAGATCAGGTTCGTTTCAGTCGCTTCGTAATAAAACTATCATCTAAAACCGGATTACATTACATTACTGAAAATTGCGTTTTTGATTGCAAAAACCGGATTAAGCTGATAAGCTGAACGGAACGCTACATGTTCGTTTCTGGATATCTCGTTCAATGTTCTAACCATAACAGAATTAAACTTTTGAAGACATGATTGATCATTGCAGTTATGCACACGACTTCTAAAAACAGCTGTGAAGTTAAAACCTGAAAAAAATTGAAACATTCTTGTCTTCGTGTTTTGTTCTGTCTCCAGGCCCTCAATGCTAACGTCGCAGCGCATGAGAAACCTGTTAAATCTGTGTGTGAAAACGGCGACGCCCTAATAACAGTGCTACAAGACGACGAACAACAGACCGTTAAAGATGATATAGACAGCATCAAGACTCGCTACCAGAATGTGAAGAATGAAACATCAGCTCGACAAGCCTCGTTAGTGGAAGCTCTGTTACTGTCACAGCAGTTCAGAGACATTCACAAGGAGGTGGTCACCTGGTTAGATCGCTGTGAAGAAAACTTCCGCAAGCTGGACGATGGTTCAGTTGCAGAACTTCAGCAGGAGAGAATCAAGGTGAGGATGTTCAGGCCTTGTGCTTTATAGTTCAGTGCTATCGTACGCTATTTATAATGTACAATTTTTCAAATTCTGAACAAACCCTCTTAGTAATAATTTAAAAGGGTTATGCCCAAAAAGAACAACGATAATCGAGTTTAGAGAGTATGGACATCAGATGCGAACCTTGCTGAATTACTGTTCAAGATGCGTTACCGGTTACTTCGAGGTCCTTCCAATTCGTAACACAATCTTCCTCGAAAGATTGCGTGAGAAGCAAGAATAGCTATTCAAGGGTTCTTTTGGCTTCCCTTTGTTCATTTCTTTTAATGAACGATTTTTTTGTTGTGGTTGTTTCTTTTGTAGTCAATCCAGGAAGGCATCACTGCCCTGAAAGTTTTGATCGGTAATTTGGAAGTAACCGGTAATGACCTGGTCAAGCTGAGTGGTCCAGGTGAGGGATCCAGCTCGATTGAGGACAAAGTAGCGACTTGTCTTGAGCGCTATGAACGGCTGCAGAGGCAGACCGAGGAACGAGGAATAAAGATCGGAATGACGTTGGCACAAGAAGAAGAGCTACAGAACAGACTGGACGAGCTGCAGGCCTTGCTGGAAAGACGAAAAGAAGAGTTTGGCAATCTGAAGCCCATTAGCGTCCGACCGGATAAGATTCGTGCGCAGATTGAAGAGATAAAGGTAGGCCATTGTTTAGCAATGGAACGAACACTTTACTGTGAGAAGCGGAACTATCTCCTGTATTTTAAGATGACAATGAAAACACAATTCATTTTGCTCTGGACAATAAATATGTTTGGTAGAAAGCTCTTTTCTTCTTTCCGTTTTTTGGTGTATTCAAGAGACCAAAATAAAATTTTCCTATACCTTTTCCTAAAGGGACTTCAGAGTGAATTCGATCCTGAGAAAGAGTTGGTTGAAGAGGTCAGACCATTGGTGACAGCTCTGGTGAATGTAAATCCAGATACCAAAACATCATTACTCATGAAGGACAAGATGAGCAAAGTTTCAACGCTGGCAGCCGACACACAAACCTTGTATGACGAAAGGCTGAAAGCTCTTGAACTGGCCCTTGATGCTGGCGAGAAGTTCTGGACGGGCTTAGATGAGATCAAGAACATTCTGAAGGACGTACAGGATCATCTTGACTCGGAGGAACTCCCTGCCGCTGACCTAGAAGTTCTGGAGGAGCAGATTCATGATCACCAGGTGAGGAACTAATCTTGCTTTGTAAGCTAATCAGATACTTTGGCAGTACTAGCCTTTTTCAACCCTTTGGTTAGTAGTTAGGGCGCCGCGTATAGATCGGAATCAACCCGGAGAACGAGAATAAAAAAGGCGAGTTTCCCATCGTTTCCCTGGTTATTTTTGGTGGAATGGATGAAGACTGCTTTATCACTAAATGTGAGATTTCCAGTCGTTATGTGACATTGTCTCCTAAAATAGCATGGCTACGTCCTTCGTGAATGAAACCATTCCTCTGAGACAATTTATGGAGCTAGTTAAGGTTATATGTTCTTGACTAAGGAATGGTTCGGTCATGTGAACAAATCGCCTGAGATGTTATAACAAACCAAAGAGAAAGAAGGATGATTAGGATTGGGGAGGATTTGGACGGATTGCGAAAAGTGAAAATTGAGGTCTGATATTCAAGATGCGTTTTCTGTGGCACGGCTAGCTAATAAAAGCTACTAAAGGACCAGTTGAATCAGCAAACCTTTAATTTCATGTAATTTTGGTTGCGTAGGAGCTTCGCTCGGAGCTGGATGCACACAGTGAAGCAGTGAATGTGTTGTGCGAGGCCAGCCCTGTTCTTGTCGCGCATTGTAGCTCCAGTGACAAGCAGCTGGTACAAACAGAGCTCGCTGGGGTCACCTCACAGTGGGCAGACATCGAAAAGACGTGGAACAAGAGAGAAGCTGAAATGGGAGATGTCAAAGAAACTGCCACCCAATACCACAACACCCATGATCCTTTGCTGACTAAGTTGACTGACCTGGAACAGAGGCTTGCCGAGCAGCCACCTGTGGGGACTGACCTGGATATTGTCAAAGAACAACTGCAAGAGCAGAAGGTGACTGTAATGTGCTTAACTAATAAAAGTCGTATCATCCAGCATGTAATTTAGACCAATGAATGAGTTGTCAGTAATCGGATACCTGTGTTTGCGCGAAGAACTCTGGGATCGTCAGGGGGCAAACATTACTAGTCGCTAGAAGGAAATGTATGACGAAAAGTTGTTTCGAGGTATAAGAAAACGATTTTTGAGACAGA